ACAATGCATTGTTGGAAATGAATTTCAGAAATCAAAGTTGGAGAAGTTGGTAGATGGGGAAATAAAAAATGAGTATGCACCGACAAAGCTTTGCGGATAACAATGATAATTAAAAGGTGTCTCGCAGTTAACCCTCAGGAGTGCCCCACCTACTTAGAAATTTTAAAAGAATTTGATTAAGGAGATATTGTGTTGCTTTTTATATATCTTTGACTTTGAGTGGGTTATGTTTTGCCTCTCAAGACTAAGACTGTTTGGTATACTACTTTTTGAATTTATCGACAATTATATATTAATTAATTAAAATATTTTGGACCAATGAAATGTGTTGCTGCTATTGTATAGATGTTATTCGAGCTTTTTACTTTTGTGCCTAAATTACCCGTGCCCCGCTAGATTATCAAACTTATGCATCTTCTCTTGTTTCTTTCTTTTAAATCATTATTTCTTCTGCATTGGCAAATTGGCAATGGCAAACCACTAGATTCATTTTCTTCTACATCACCAATCCACTACAACTCCTACCACTGGATATTATTGGTTTCATATTCTAGTCAATACTACTACTTGTATTATTGATAACAATATTGGCCTTGCCGTTGCCGCCAACTTCTTCGCAGCTTACCGATGACTTTTTGGGCTCATTCTTACTTGTGGTCGATGTCTTTATGGGCTTCGCAGCTTAAGTCGTATGCAATAGAGGTTCTAATAAACATTCAAGGAAAAATAAAATAGGTGCTGCTCAATTTACTTAGGAAAAAAGTAACAAATTGCAAGCCCGCAGCAACAACAATTGCAAAGGAACTCCTCAAGTACAATTGGCTTCTTTAAGTGATTCCATGAAATAAAATTTCAAAATAAATCATTTAAGTAGCACCGTGCAAAATTTTACAAGAAGACATGTATGTTATACCATTCCAGAACCTAGAAATAGGAGGTCTTGTATAGCTCACATTTTAGTGAAAACTTATTTCTCAAACAAAAAGACACGCTCCTACTTAAAACCAGAAACTTAACCATACACCATCTCAAACAATCGTGAAAACAACCTAACAAAGACACAGCTGCTTTCAAACATACCTAGCTACAACATCTCTTTTGTTTCCAATAATAGAAATATAATTTCAAAGTGCTTTTTATTTCCTAATCAGAGAACAAACGTAGCAATTCAATATCTTATTCCACTTTCCCCTTTAGTTTAGGTTCCCAAAAACCAAACAGCACAATGATTTTTTTACATAAACATTTTGATGAACAATTGACATATATTCAAAGTTCAAAAGAAAGAGAAAACAAATGAACACATTTGAACTAAAGCCAAATTGAAAAAAGTCATTCGAAACCCTAAATCTACATAACTAACTAAAGCCAAATTGGACCCTAATAACCTGGGAGAATGAAAATCAACACAGAATAAGAAAACATTCAAAATTAAAAGTTAAAATTACTCATTAATGTGTGAAAGACTAAAGGCATGAAGGCTAATAGACAAATTATTAAGCAAGAACTTCATGAGCTAAACACTAAAATTAAAAATTAAGATAAAAAAAAGCTTACCTTTTCTTAGGGTTTCTCCAAATTGAACAAACTCAAAGTCAAACAACAAGATAAATAGGGTTTTTCATTGATTTGGTATGGGCGGTTTAGGGTTTTTCATTGATTCGGTCTAGAAACGAGATAAGGAGTGAGGATGCGGAAAAGAGAGTGTCGGAAGGTCAAATGTGGCTGTGATTTTGATAGGTTAAGTTTGTGGTAACCACATTTTGGGCACGTGCTATGATGGCTTGGAGCTTATGACTTTCATCACGGTGAAGCATGTTCATGGATAATCAAACTTGAACCAAGGCATAGGTTTCGAAGGACATGCTCTCATAATTATGTGCTTGACATGGCTTTCGAAGGCCTTTGAGAAAAATGGGTTGGGCATGGTTTTGTTGAAGTACCTCCTCTGAGCATGACGTTGGCTAGCTGCATACATAGTGGCTTTTAGCAATACTTGGCATGTGCTTGGGGACTCACATTTCCTGTGCTTGGAATTTGGCTTTGCTTTGCATAGGTTCCTCAGGCCATCTCCAAGAGTGGGCTACACAAAGGGCGGATTCCTAAAATGAGAGCCACATGTGGCCCTTTGGCTAGCCCGAGCTAAATATTTGGATGAGGCCAGTTGATGTCACCTAGCCGTTACGTGATGTCAACTAGCAGTTTCTTTTTTTTGGTATGAATACCTACCTCATTCTTACATAATTTCTCACAATATCTTCATCATTTTACATATTATCATTCCTTAATTTCATAATTTTACATAATTTCTCACATTGTTTTACAAGCTGTCCTTCATCTTTTTCCATTTAAATTTATTTTTAAGTTGTTTTAAGAACAAGACAAAGACTTGAACATGACAATGTATTGTCAATTATTATTAGTTGCAAACACAAAAGACTAGCTAATAATGTCATAAGGCCGCTCATCATTCGAGTGCTCGTATGTGCAACAAGATCCTTTTGTAGGTTGTTGTTTGCGGTACGAGAATGTATTGACCTATGACGACACATGTATTCCTCTATGGGGATCCTACCAATTCTTGGATCTCGAGGCAAATTAGACTCATCATATATTCTAGCAAGAGCTTTCCTTGACCTATTTGGGTCAACCTCATCATCGTCGGAATCTCCACAAATGTAGTCATCCCATTCATCCTCCACAATCATGTTGTGCAATATAATGCACGACATCACGCTAATGATTAACCATTGTGCTTGTAGAATACCAAATGCCTTTTGAATGTCCTTCCGGTATGCCTCTTCCTTCTCAGAAAAATACTTATCTTGTTCATTCACAGGTTGTGGAATTGCTTGGACAAGTGTTGTCCACTTTGGGTAAATACCATTAGCAAGATAATAACCCATGTTGTGCTGAAGACCATTGATGTAGTAGTGTAGTTGTGGTGATTCACCCTCCGTTAGGGCATCGAAGAGGGGTGAGCACCCTAGTACGATGAGGTCATTTTGAGGTCATGGGATCCCAAAGAAATCATGCCGAATCCAGGTGCCATAAGAGGCCACGGCCTCCAAACAATAGTTTGCTTTCTAGATCTTTCGCTGAAGCTACCCTACCATCTAGTTGGACAATTCTTCCACAGCCAATGCATGCAGTCCAGCGAGCCTATCATGTCGGGAAATCCCCGATCTTCAACTTTGCATAGAAGACGATCCATATCCTCTGTATTTGGTGCTCGGAGGTACGTATCTTTGTAGATATGAACAATTGTACGAAAAAATTGAGCAAGGTTTTCAAGGGACGAAGTCTTAGACATACCAAATATGTCATCCATCGCATCAGCTGAAGATGCATATGCCATCATTCGAAGTGTGGCAGTTACCCTTTGGTGGGTCGAGAAATTGGGTTGGCCTGCATTATTCACCCTCTAACAAAGAAAAGGTTGACTGCTTGGACATCATGTAGCAAACGCTCGAAACGTGACGTCTTATCCGGAATCAGCGTTTGAAATCATCTTATGTGTACACTGCATTAGGATTGAATTAGTTATTCATTAGTGTTTGGTGCACAATCTCTCATTGTCGAGGTCGACCAAAAACAGAGCCACCCCACTAGGGTTGTTGGGACGTTTCCTCACACACCCAAGATGCGGTGGTTGCCGCCATAAGGTCGTTTTTGCGCCTTTGAGTATCATCTTCTTCATTCTTCTCCATCAGTTGGCATCTCCCCTCCTCCCATTGGTCTTCCAATTCCGAATTGAAAGAGGAACCCCAGTTGGAATCCATTGCATAATTGAATTGGAATGAAAAATTATACAAATTGAATAGAGGAATTGGAGAGGAATCAGATGAAGGTGTGAGATATGAAACCCAAAACATCCTTTTATTGATATTTGAAGATGAAGATAAGATGTGCCACATGGATAAAAATCCAATCAAAAATATGGAGGGCTAATTAGGTACCGAAACGTGGCTCTCGAAAATCCTATTTGAAAAATTGTTGGGATTTTACATCATGATAGGATGTGCCACGTGGAGAAAAAATCTAATCAGAAATCTATAGGGCTAATCACGTGCCAACACTTGGATGTCAAAAATCCTATCCCAAAATTTTTTTCTCTTGTAAAATGTATTTTAAATAGGATATAAATAGTAGTTTAATTAAATTAACTAATAAATTTACATTTAACTATTAAAATATTAAATTTAGCCCTTTGCTGTTGGAGACAATTAAAATGTAGCATGACAATATTCCTTACAAAATTATTTTTTAGAGGACTAAATATAGTCCTTCCCACCTGGAGATGGCCTCATGTGACCATGTCTTAGTACAACCGTCCTTTATATTAGGCTTTTAATGAACTTGGGTTGCTTAAAATATTTTGGGTATCAACACATATTTATGCTAAAATGGTGATGTTGACAAAAGTTAAATGGACTTGGAGCAAACTTTTAGCAAATCACAACTTTGTGTCTAATATTGCGACATTTTAAAGATGAGGTGCCAAATTAACAAAAGGTATATTTTATTTATTTATGAGAAGCGTACAAACTTGAAGGGCGTAAAATGCAATTTCCCTATTATTTGCACTCCTTCAAGGGCAATGTGTGTAAATATAACTCAAATATTATTTTTTATAAGGCGATATTCTAAACTATTCTAATTTAAAGGAAATCGAACTCAAATAAAGTGTTTTTCCCTCACCAACTAACCTATTACATATGTGAAATTGAGTCCTTGAGTGATTGCCAATATCATTTTATTATTTAAAAGAAGTCTCTTTATCAACTATAATACACATTTTAACATCCAAAAGCGCTTCCCAAAAAGCACTTATGATTGCTTTTCCAAAAAGCATTTTGAATTCTTAATAAATATTTTAATCGTGCTTCTAATAAAAGCGCTTATAATGAGGAGAAATACTTCTTATAAAAGCAACTTCCAAATACTTTTCGAAGCAGCACTTCAATATCTAATAAAAATCTCAACATGCTTCAAATAAAAAGTGCTTTTAAGCAGGCGCAAATTCACCACTTAATTTTAAATAAACATAAATATGCCAGGAGAAGGTGAACTCCTAGAACCCGAAATGAAATGTGCAATGCTCTGAAATAGATGAATTGAGAGTCGAGTCTACTGAGTAAAGCCTCCCCGAACAAGTCAATGACGATAGCAGCAGGGATCGGGTACGCCTTGCTAGCGCTAGGCCCGTCTCTCTCCCTCTTCGTCTCTGTCATCTCCAAAAAACCCTTCTTGGTTCTCACCGTACTTTCAAGGTAAGCTATTCACATATTTTCTCCCATCTCTCTCTCTCTCCAAAAGCCCTCCTTCTTGGTGTATTTCCTTTTAGGGAAAATTTTCCTTATTGGGTTCTTACAGTTCTGTAATTTTGGACATTGAAACTTGTCATTTAAGCTTATGTTGTAGTTGTGATAATAATTAAGGTCAGGTTTATGATAGAAAATGTAGTTTGTGATATGTTAAGTGTTTTTGAAATTCTGGGTGACATTAAAAAAGAATGACTTACCAAATTGGAAGGTCAAATTTAGTTATTTGGAAAGGGTTTCCACTAAAACAAAGGGCCTTGTTCACATTTTGTTGTTGGTTTATGGTGAAGACCATGTAATATGAGCTCATAATATTGCTTGTTGTCTAATTGTGTATGTAGCACATTGTTATGGCTCATGAGTCTCATCGTGTTGTCGGGAATATGGAGGGCATTTCTGCCTCTCAAATCATCGACATGGTGGCCCTATGGCATTCTCATATTCACATCGGTTGCGTTTCAAGAAGGGCTTCGGGTTCTTTTCTGGAGAGTCTACAAGTAAGTTGATTTCTTGGTACTTCATTCTTGTTTTCTTGTCTAATTATTCGATGTAGTTAATATGATTTATAGCTCTCTCTTATGAGGGAAGGGAAGGCTAAGGCATGATAAAAGTTGGGGTAGATTTAGTATGAAACATTTTACACATATTTCCGCCTGAGTAGAGGATAATTTGTGGAGTAGCAAATAGTTTTTAGTATTCTCTGTGGAACACTCTTGAGAAGAGTTTTCTCACTGGTGAAATTAGTGTGGTTTTAGAATTAGACAGTGTTCAAAGAACTATCAGGTTGTATTAGTAAAGGTGTAATATGTAGCTGTGATCTGAAATTCTTATGTAAGGCGTAATTATGGAAAGTTCGGATCCTTGGTTTTTGTTTGTTTGAATGACATGAGCATGGTATCTTCTAGGTATATATACTTCAACGCTCTGCTGTGTTGTTTTTGCTTGTAATAATAATAAATAAATAAAAACAGTCTTACTCTTGCAATATCTACATTGCTCTGCAATATTCTTCTTCCTCATCAGTGCCCTAGCTTTATTGAGCCTGCTGTTGATTTCAACTTCTTAATAATCACCAGACTAGGTGGTGTCCTTTTCTTAAATGTTTTACACACTTCTGAGTTTTCAAATACCAAAAATCTTACAGTTTTCTGCATGCACATAAGCGGTAGCATTATTTTATATTTGTTTTAATCTTAAATGACTTGATAGAGATCCATCAATTTTCTCTCTTAAATTTAAAAAGTTTGCTGCCATTTGTGGAATCTCACAACAACTTTTTTATTTATTTGGATGTTTATGTTCTCTATTTAAGAATCTGCTGTTCCCCTTTGGAACTTAATGTAATCATTTTTGCCCCTCTACTTTGTTATATATGCGATGATGCATGTTATCTTGAGAATTTAGATATTGTTAATGGTTAATAAAGGTATATAACATCTTTTTTTTTGCATGTTATTTTAGGAGGTTGGAAGATACATTGGATGCTTTTGCTGATAGGGTCTCTAAACCACGCCTATATCTGACTGATAAGATGCAAATTGCTCTGGGTGAGCTTTGCGAGGTTCTTAGACTTGGATTCATCATATATTAAATGTTCTACTATTAACTTCCATATAGCAAGTTTTTTCTGCAGTTCAGCTTTTTCATTATTGTCATCTCAATTCCAAAATTTTGGGGCTCAGAAGAAGCTACTAAGAAAGAATTACTTTTTTTATGAAAGATATAGCTTCTGCCCCCATCATTGGTACCCTTTCTCAATGGTTTAAGAAACTGCTGTTTTGTTCTAGCAATTGCGTGTTTCTATTAATGTTGCAATTGATGAGAATGCTTCACGTACAGCATCATGTGTTTTAAAAAGAAGGGAGGGTGGCTGATAGGTGGTTCTCCCTTTAGATCTTTGTGATTGAGTGATCTATTTTGAGTTGTTTATGGTTTATCATCACCCTATAAGGTTTTTGTTGTTCTAAGCTGTTTTTCTGATTGTTTTCATTCTGGATGCCAACTGTCAGTGGTACTTCAAGTGTTATAGCAATCAAAGTTTTGACCCTTCTTGTTTATCTGTGATCTGTATGAAAAGTAGCATGTTTTCCCTTCCCACCTTTCCTTGCCAACTATTGTTGGCGACTCACAAAATTTTGATTACCTTTTGTTTGTCCCAACTAGACTTATTGTTGACCCGATATTATTTCAACCATGCAGCTGGAGGTTTGGGTCATGGAGTGGCACATGCTGTGTTTTTCTGTATCAGCCTCTTAACACCAGCATTTGGTCCAGGAACTTTTTTTGTTGACAGATGCTCGAAGATTCCATTTTTTCTTCTTTCTGGTTAGTCAAGCCTTACAGTTGCTTCCATACATTTATTTTTTGGTTGTATGAATTAATTTCTTGAGCATGCTTGTAAATAGGTGCTAGTGAGGTTTTATAATTTCTCGAGCATGGTTGTATGCATTTAGTTGCTACCTGTAAAATCAGAACAAGCAAGGGAAGAGTGGAAGGGAATTTTCTGACACTTTTGCAACAGTAATTTGGTAGTTGGCTGGTGTTTAGATTAGAAAATTTCATTTATTCTCTTAACTTTATTTGTCTGACAATTTTGTCTTGTACTTTACAGCACTTCTTGCCCTTGCATTTGTCACAATTCATACTTTTTCTATGGTCATCGCATTCAATGGATATGCAGAAGGGAATAAGGTGGACCAGCTTTTTGTTCCTATCATTCATCTTGTTGCAGGGATGGTGGTAAGTCTCTCTAATCTCACATATTCAACGAAAACAGACACACACAGATACACTCTCTTCACAGTGGCAGTGCTTTTGCACTTTGTATAACTGTATACTTGACGGTCCCATCGATGAACCTTGAATTTGGAAGGGGTGGGAATATAAAGACATGATGGCATAGGGGTTTTAATATAATTTAACTTAGTAGTTCTGGAGTTGCTGTACACTCCAGGGGGTTCGTTCAATTTCAAACCTTAAAAATCTTAAGTGAAAAATATTGGTGGTTAAATATATAAAAATGTCCTAATGATTGTTACTCCCTTGGAGAATGAATTATGGGCACAAACATGCGACATGGTAAATAAAAAAACATGTTCACTGAAAAGCAAGGGTAAATTTCCAATCTAGGACATGAGATGGCAGCACATACACATACTTATTATGTAAGGGATACAGATTTAGCAACTAATATACGTTATGTAAGATTCAAGGTATGCTAACGCGTGGTTTTTTTATAAGATGAAAACTCCACACTTGACTTGACAGTAAAAATGTAGAAAAGTTTTCAAAAGAGATTGAAAAGTTTTCATAAGTATATAGAAATTATGTGTAGGGACATGTGCAGACAATAATTGAAGTATCCAACTCTGTCAACAAAAAAAATGTTTAAATGTGATGTGTACAGTGACAGTCATGTGTCTGATGCATTTCCGAGGTCTGTCCAATGTGTCTCTGCATCCAACAATCATTGGATGTGTGAGGTAAGTGTCTATGCAAGCCTATGAGGCATAGTCATGATCATGAGATGGTCATGAGATGGCCACTCAACTTATCTTAACTAAGGCTTATCCTTTTTTTCCCCGGTAAACAACTAAGGCTTGTTCGTTGTTCCTGCTTTGAAAAGATAAATAAACAAAAACCAAGCCGTCTCTGCTAATTATGGAAAAACAAAGCCTCTTAGAATGTTGATTTTTTTCCTTTTGCTTTTGTTGCAATTAGCTTAAAGTAGAGTTTGAAATAGTTTAACGAGTTTTTTTTAAGAATTATTTACTTCCACATATCTTTTGGTTATATATTGCACAGTTTTTAATATTAGTGTTTCAGAAATTAATGCTAGAATAGCCACATTGACTTTTTGCCTTCAAATTTTCAGACACTAGTTAATTTTGCATCTGGGGGTTGTTTCATCGGCATTCCTCTCCTGTACTTCATCGCCATCTTGACCTTATTGCATTGCGGGAAGATGGTGTGGAGAAGGTTAACGGAGAACCGAGGCAGACAGGGTTCTATGTAGAATCCAGTGACTTGAGTTACTCGTTTCTAATTACTGATGTCCAGTTCCCTCGCCCTGTATCTTTTTTTGGCAATTCCATTGCCATGTGGTCTGTTAGTCCAAAAGGTCAAGAGCTTCTGCAGCCTGAAGAAATGTTTGTTTTCGTTATGAGGCCAGTTCATTTCCAGCAAAAGGACAAGATGTTATCCTGATTCTCAGGGATAGATGTTATACCTTGTGTTAAACTGACAAAGGACTTTAGCATCTTAGGAGGCAAACTCTATGTACCTTTTGGGCTTCTATAAGGTTTTTAGCTTTCACAGACCCCATAGAAGCATTATTAAGAAAAAGACGTTCGTGTATCGTACATCGTTGCCCTTGATAGAACCTTTTAATATATAGATATGACAACCGTGGTTTATGGTTGCTGGAAATTATTGTCAAGTAGTTCCTCTGTATGCTTATGCAAATAGAACTATAGAAGTAATTTTGTCATCTGTGTTTTTCACTATCAAATTTGTGTGGAACATATTACTTTGTACCATAGTATGGAAAACATATGTATATGTGCATGCATGGGTTAATGAATTTTGTAAAAACATATGTTTATATTAAGGTCATTATGATTTAGCGCAAATGAACTCCCAAATTATCTTTTACCATTTTCCTTAACTAAGGGAAAACCACTTCTAAGAATTCACTTCAGTAAATTTACAACCTGCAATGAACCCCCAAGCAAAACACAAAATCTTCTTTAACAATATTGAACTGCAAAGTGGCCATAAAGATAATCTTTCTACACCAAAGGGGAAAGCTAATAAAATTTTAAAAAAATATGATCTAGCATTCAAATTACAAAATGTTATGATTTACAACATATTAAGGAATAAATGCCACCAAATAAAAAAATAAAAAAAAATAAAAAAAAGAAGAAGAAGAAGAAGAAGAAAAGATTAGCCGTTTGTCGACTAATCCTTACATTTTTGACTTAATTATTACTAACACAAAAACAAGGAGCTTTTGTTTATAATACAAATAGAAATAATGTTGAATGACATTCCATATTGAGTTCTAGGGGTCGGTTTTTGACAACTTCTGTACTTTCAGTTTTAGTTTCACTTGAGAAAAAATTTCCATACATCTCTATCAGACATCTCCTTCACTAAATGGGCTCCAAAAATGCCTTCTTCATCTACCAGGCTTTTCAAGTGCCGAGCTCCGCCGTTGGAGCCAACGTAATTCTTTTTCATGGCCAAGTACAGCACTCCATATGGGGGCCTCAAACACTGATAATTTCACAGTATAAATATTTGAAAATTGAAATTCAGTTTGCTCATGAGAAAAGTAGGAAGCATGAATAAACATATTGTTGTAACGCCTTCAAATAAGATGATGAAAGGGGCCAAGGCACTAACCTTTTTTATGAGTCCGTAGAACTTCTTCAATGAGGTCAACGAATATGGGATCTCTGTCATCAGGATAATATCATATCCACCTCCTTGTTCTGTCTCGCTAGCCCTCTCCCATGCCCGGCTTCCTGAAAGCTTCCTCGATCGCCTTGAAGAAGATTCTTGTGCCAAGATGCTACCATCTTGGCTGCTACATCCATCCATAAAATCCTCCTCAGAGAAGCTTAGATGCATTCCTGTCGTCGCTTCAAACCCATCATTCCTCACAACAGACAAGACAGTGGGAAGTTCTTCCCAGTCACCAGCATAAAAGTGCACTGACTGGGTCAGAGTTTGTCTTGATGGAGTCAGGGGGCTCTCTGGCTGTCGGCTCTGCTTGTCTCGAGCCTGCTCAAGATTGGCAAGGACATTTGGTATAGTTGTACATCTTATAGTTTCTGCATTGACGTCTTGAAAGTGCACAGTGGAAGCTCCCTATAAAGCAATGAGTCACATTAGATGAACATTCTAAATCAACTTCTTTGAATATCTTCCAAGCACCAAAAGTAAGCCCTGCATTTCTTACATAATTGTTGATGAACTTCTCTGTTACCCATATTTTCCTTCTCTTTTATTTTTTGGGTATGGTTGTTTCACATATTTGGCAGGCAATTATTAGACCTTGAATGGACTGGGCACAATGCTGTACCCACTCATATATAATCCAGTTCAAACATTGATCCAAATAATACACCAACACTTGCATATATGAGCAATTTAAATCACAAACATTTCCTGTCAACAAAATGCATAATATACTTTCTACAGGAATATTAAGTCAATCAAACAAAATATTAAGGGTTATATAGCAAGTGAATATTACTTAAAAAAAGGTCAGTGCCAAATTCACAAAAATGCACTGGTTATTAAGGAAAAAGAAAGATATCAGGATAGAGTGAAAATGAAAAAGAATGGAACAAACCAGCACAATTGCATAAAAAAACAAACAGCAAGGCCTTTATTATTGATGCATACCTTCAGGCATGCAAAAATCCCTGGAAGGCCATAGTTGCAACCTAGCTGTAAGAATCAGCAAATAGAAAGATTAAACCACCAATCAGCCAGTAACTAATTAACAAAAGGAAACTTAGCAATGGAGCAACACAAGAGTGATAAAGCTTGTTACAACCACAAATTTGCAGGAAGTGACCATGTGAAGGTTTCTCAACCAATGCGACTAAAATAGAGTTCAGAAAACATTTAGTTACACAATCCTGAAATTTACCCAAGGAAAACTAGAGGACATTTCTGCGAGCATGCTTGGATCTAACATTATTTTTTAGATGTGGTATCTTTGTAGAGAAAAAATTACAAATTTTTCAAGCCCCTCCAAGAAAACATGAGAAACAGATGATTACTCTAAGTAATACACCACACAAGATAAGGCAGAAAATAACCACTCTATTACAAAAAGTAAGTCATTGGTAATATGATATCTAATAAATCACGAGTACAAAGAGAACCTGAGTGGAATTAAATCAAATATCAAACAATGATCACACCACTTGGAGCAAAAAAGTGAAAAGTCAATAAGTCATAAACAATATTGAATTGAAGCATGAAAAAGCAAGATATTATACCTCAACCACCCTTTTTCCTCGAAAGCTCAGTTGCCCATCTCGAATCTCATGTTTAAGGACATTAACAAGATCAATGGAGCTATCCCAAGAAAAGTCAATAAGTCATAAACAATATTGAATTGAAGCATGAAAAAGCAAGATATTATACCTCAACCACCCTTTTTCCTCGAAAGCTCAGTTGCCCATCTCGAATCTCATGTTTAAGGACATTAACAAGATCAATGGAGCTATCCCAAGATTTCAGATGCCCTGCACATTAAATGAATTTCCAGTTTTAAACTCACATCAAGCAAACTGATTATCCTTAGGATCTAAGGAAACTACTCTAGTAACATTATCATGTGACTAAGTACTGCCAAATTACACTGAAAGCTTCACTTTAAGTATTGGAATGCCATATACAGTGTGCCTACCATCTGGTTTTGAGGATATCATTTCTGAACTATTGAAGCCGATGATATCAGAAACACTAACTCTTCCCTGTTAAAGATTAAGAAAGGCATCAGTCAAGCTTATCAAAATATTTTAAACAATAATAGTGCAAACCGCACTCATGAGTTGTCGGTTATGCTGTTTCAACCAATATGAAAAAACTGTCATGACAATGAAATCCACCAAGATCAAGACATTAATATTTCCACAAAGGTAATACAAGCTACATGCCAAAAGCCATTTAATCAAATCCATATACCTCCAGTTTAAAAGAAAACATATAATTCTTTTTTTAAATAGCACGACACATGGGAAAATCAAAGATATTTCGTAACAAAACAAAAGAGACTTATAGAAGAGACCATGAAACATAGAAAAGGTGTAAAGATCACTTTACACATAACAGAAATCTCTTATTTCAACATTATATTAGGGCACATAAATCAAAGTCTTGATACATAAGAACAATGCTAATAAACAACTGAGCCATGAAGGACCAGCTGCGTATTAGATTACAATCCATAGATTGACCACTAGCAATGTTTTTATTTTTATTTTTTTATAATCAATAATCAATTTCAGACTGCAACTGATCTTCCATAAAGGCATGTACAAAACAATGCTTTTACAACATGCCAAAACAAATAGTAGAACAAAGATGTACCTTGAACACATTGAGTCCTTGCAATTCAATATTCTCGCCCGCATACTTATATGGGTGAGCTGTCTGCAGTATATAAAGAGACTGTTAGAAAATTAATACAACTTGTTAACCTCCCCTCCCTCTTGCAACAAAAGCTCCAACCTATAGACCACTCCTGTTGCTGAACAAACCCTTGATATGAAATGATTAAGTTTATCTTTATCGGGTCACACATGCAGAATTAAGATCACAAATGGTTGAAGATGTGGATAGGATTATACCTTTGAAGGGACAATCTCAACAGCTGGTGAAGGGAGATGTGGCTCTCTCTCAGAAATGGAAGACATGCTATGACTTCCTTTTTCATGAGGCACCAAGCCAGGCAAACACTGTGCAAGCAATGATGGTGCACGCATTGTACCCTGATGTCTGGAAGACAGTTCTCTGGATCTGGAAACAAAACCTTGCAATTATCAATACATCAAATTAGTCTATGATGCATTCGTCAAAACCTTGCAAAACTGACACTAAACCAATTCTTTCATGCTTTTTTATTTTTCTTGTCCAACTTAGACCACCCACTAACGACAAATTGTGTGAAACAAGTTTAACACTGGATACATTTTAAGGACATAGTGGGTTCAGAATACTGAGGAGCTGTTAAGGAAATTGTATTGTTAACAGACTAGCAATTGAAATACAACAAGGAAATAAGAGCTAACGACAAATTGTGTGAAACAAGTTTAACACTGGATACATTTTAAGGACAGTGGGTTCAGAATACTGAGGAGCTGTTAAGGAAATTGTATTGTTAACAGACTAGCAATTGAAATACAACAAGGAAATAAGAAGTCAAGCAATTAGTACCTGAACATTACAAATGATACACACAATGAAACTACCAACGACCAATGTTAACTGATACATAATACCAATGATTATTTAAATCCACCCTATAGGTTGCCCTTTCCATAGGCTCCAGCCCAACTGCGTGGTGAAACCAGTTCTAATACTGGTTTATAGGAACCAGTTCTTGTACTACTTGATAGGAACCCACGGAAAGAACTTTGCCCTTACAAAACCGGCTTGTGAGAGAGGGGTGTTCCATGGTTCATATATTGTACCAAAATGTTCTATTGTTCCAATGTGGTATATTGGGAGCCTAACATATGGAGATAAATTCAGAACAAGGAAGACTATACATTCAATCGGGAAAAACCAACATCTTCAAGAGAAATTCAATTACCAAACAAATTGGTCAATCACCTCCAACAAGAACCAACAAAGGAAAGGCAATTCTATTACTTGCATTCACTAACCAATTCAGCAAAACAAAGAAAATAAAAACCAATGACAAAATTAAGAATAAATTGAATAATTATAAAAAACAAATACCCAAAACAAAGAATGGTAAAAAAAATTGAACTAAATTGACCTCTGCAGAAAATTAAGCCAAACCCATAGCACCAATTACATCCATAAGCAGAAAAAAAAGAAAAAGAAATCAAATCCCATGTGCGATTGCATTAGAAACATCAGAATTGAGAGAAAAAGACAGAGCAAGAATACCTGCAGTCCTTTACAGCAGAGACAAATATACCAAATTTAGCAGAGAAATTCAGCACGAGAATCTGAATCCGAGGCAAACCCTTTTTAAATCAGAATACCAAATATAAAAAACGAAGATCAAAGCTCTGCAATTTCAGAGAAAAGAGGCAGAAGTGGTTCTGATCAAAGTCAAAAAGCCAACACCAAAGAAGAACAACAGCCTTCAGAGAAGCTTCGGTTTCAGACCCGAACTGTAAAACAGACTGAATTCCCTAAACTACCACTGGCACTTGACTGTAATTTCGGGGACGACCACTGTGACTGGGGTTGGGTTTAGTGTCATTTTGCAAATGTTACAAAATGCAAGGGTAATTTTGGAAACGAAGTCCTCGTGGAATTGACGGAAGTAACTGGGAGGAGGAATGGGAGGCATATCTGGTCAGTTTTGTCGTGTTTCGTTCCCGCGTGCGTAGAACGGAGTGTTCGTCAACTTGGGCCACATGGTTGACGCGTGTACGTGGCAGGTAGGTGATAAAAATTGTTCCTCATAGTGAAATTGGTGAATGCTAGTGTTTGGCTGCTTGGAAAATAATCCATAATTACGTGCACGACTAGGACTTGGATAAGATTCTGAATCAGAACGGAATGAGTTATGAACTTGGGATTTATTCAAGTATTAGAAAGAGAAATACCACTAAATATGTGTCGAATCCTCATCAAATTTGTTTGTGCAAGGGCTTGGAAGCCATTTAAAAAACATCCATGGTGAACTACTAGTGGAGACCCTTCAATTTGCTATGTAATTTTGTTAGTTTGATTCTTTTTTATGGACTTGTTCAATTTTTTCCAGGCACTCGTGGATCTAAGAATTTATTAGCAGATGTGTAATTTTGGCCATAATTTAAAAGTTAAAAAAAAAACAAGCACATTGCTCATAAACACAGCAGTGCAGTTGACTGACTCCGTTTAGGCTTTTCATCAAAAACCTATAGTGAACCTCCCAAGTTGAGCAGATGTGCAATATGTAGCACCTATAATGACCTTTTCGGCGAGGGGAGGTGTAGCTGCATTTATTTGCGCCTTAATAGGTCCGCAACTGCATCCAAGTTTCTCTCATTGATTGATTGATGAGTGGTTAGTAATCTTATTCATACGTTCAATCATGTTTTTTTTTTCTCTCTACAATTTAGTAAAACATCTATTTATGTTTTTACCCTCTACCTTTTTTGCTTTTTTATTGTAACATCCATCGTCATGCTACCAAGAGCTTTGTTCTTACAAAGTTTTTCAAAACCATCATTGTTTTCATGTGATTCACAAGCTGTGTTTGTGGGCACCATATCTTCTGGGACTGTTCTACCCACTTTCAATTCAAAGTCTGGATTGAATGGTATTATCTTGATCCAATTCATCTGACTCACATAGTCACCGTCACCAAGCACGATAATTTGGTAGATTGAAGCAGCACACCGAGTCTTGTCTTCAAGGTAGGAGAACCTAAGATCAAGAAATGTTCCTTCTCCGGCCGTAATCGTTTGAAAATGTCCATATCCAGCGCACCATCTACATCTGCATTCTCACCACTGTGGCCATCAGTTGGCACGCTCGCAAACCGCACACTAAGGACATTTTGTTCACCTAAAAATACGGCATGTTACCAAATAGGTTTTTTTATATTTTATTTTTATAGTTCAACAATTACTACGTACCTTCCATTGTCTTATTATTTGATTGGCAAGTGATGTGAACTACAGCTCTATGTCTGCTGAATTAGTCTTGTTAGTTGTTCATGTGCATAAGGTGACTTTATTTGAGTGCTGCTGAGGTTCAAGGCAGGCCATGATTTGTTCTGTGTGGATAACGTGAAGCCTGTCATTTTATGCTCACAATTTAGAAATACTTGTTGTCTGTATACATTTATCAATTTTTCTCTGTACATTGGACGCACATGAATCCTGCCTGCAACAAAACGAAAGGAAACATGAAGAAATAAAGTGAACAACAAGTCCATAAAATAGTAAGACAGTGGCATCCAGAGCCAAATTTAAGCTCGTAAGAACCTAGATATCTGCTAAAAGATTGACCAATCTTGTTATCATTCTCCAGATTTTACTTTATGCCCCGGCCCTCTGCTCAATGAGAGACGCGCGACGATCCAATTAACGGAGAGACAGATGCAGTGAGAAGTCATCTTTATCAAATTCTGAATCAACTCCCTCATGCCCGTCAAACTCATCAAGGCCCAAGAACATCTCAATTGGAAGTTCTTTTGAAGCAGAACCTTCTTCTACAGGAGCTTTAACCATACCGACTGGTCTTTCAACATGAGCTTTTCTATCTTTGAGTTCTGCAGTATCATCTTTCATGTTTAAAGGTACAATTTTCGCAGAAGTTTTGGTTGCCCTGCTCAACCTTGAAGGCAAAGTATTGGTCCTGCGTGCACCCTTGTTGTATCTTTGTTTTAATTCCATTATCTTTGATGCTGCTGATCCTGAGCTGAACACTAGCCTTCTCCTCTGCCCTTCTTTGAGATCTATGTTCCTATCATGGTGGCTTAATTGAACTGAATCTGGTGGACTTCCAAAAGTTGTTATACTTGCGTCCTTCCGCGGCGACATGGAAAAGTAGTTCCAAGTTGCTTCAGAATTCCAATCGATTTTCTGTTCGTATGGCCAGAAAAGTGGTTCATCAGTATTTAGATCTAAGCAATCTGCAGCTTCAGAAGCATGTTCTGATGAAAAATCACATCCTGATGTTTCACTTTGTGCTCCACTACTAAAATTACATGACTGAAATTCATGACCCCAATTACTCTTGTAAGATGGACTTGGAAAATCTGACGGAAAATAATCCAACTTTGGATCTGCACCTGGTATCAATTTGTTATCCTCTCCATCAAGATTCAATAAAGATACGCGAAAACCTATCCTCTCGAAATCTAGACTCTGAGAAGAATCAGATTTTGTGCTAAGAGGAGTTGAAGAGGTTACAGAGAAACCTCTTGCATTTGCATCACTTTTAGCTGAACTAAGTAGCCAAGTAACTATCTTTTCATCCTTCATATCTTCCTCTAAATTATTGTCTTCATCTCGAGAAGCTTTCCGCATAGGCAAATTAGATGCCTCTTCCATAGGATTTTCTCTTGTCAGCAATGACAACCAAGAAGGTAACAACAGCTCATTTGAGTGAAATGAATCAGACCACCTATACTCTCTAAAAAAGGCAGAAGGTGATGAACAATCTGTAGACAACCACATCGACTCTCTGTCATTACCAAACTGTTCGTATAGATCAAGATCTTCTTCTGATGGTTGGCAAAAAGCAGCTGCAGCCGCATCCTTCTTGCTGCTTTCGCATAGACGAGGACCTGCCTTTGTCAATCGTATTCTAATGGGTGCACTTTTAGCACCATTTGATCTTGGTCTGAGATACTCATCTTCTCTTTGGTTTGAGACATTCATCTTCTTCACTGGTGACAAAGAGGAAACCCTCTTCATAGTATCACAATATCTATCTGTTCCATTGAATTTCATTTCATTGAAGTTTCAGCAATGATCACTGTCACATTAAGATATCACAATAAAGGACTGGACACAAAAAGGAAAATTAAACAAGAGTGGAGGAAAGATGAGGGAAAGTTCAAGGAAGCCTACTAAGACCAGCAATCACAGAAGACTTCCAAACAGACCAACAAATGTAAATCATATATATATATGTAGAATATGAATTGATCATAAATTAATCAATATGATATAAAGATAGAAGAAAGTAAAGTCTTCAACTCTCAGAGCATTTGAATTTGTAAATTATACACACCCACATAGACCAGCAGCCTGCAAAGTCTGTAGGTACACCAAGTCCAAAGGTTGAAGAAATTGAATATCTAATATATATAAACATAGAATGTCAAAACCAAAATCCAACTACTTTTGGATGATGAGAATAGAATAGGTCAACAAGAAGGCTCCAATTGAATTAAATATTGGGTGCAATCAATCACCAATGTAACTACACAAAAAAGCAACTCTTATGCAGAAAATATTCAAACATATAGAGACCAGTATATGCTTAATGTGTTCCAGCCAACAGTGAATCAAATTATAAATTTACCATTGAACGTAAAAAAAAGCTTCCGAAAACGAAAAGCCAGAAAACCCAACAGCCAGAATTGACAGAAGTACTTATTTTCAATGGCATGTAATTAGGAATATCGCTATAAACAGGGCCAACGTTGAGATTTTGAAGGCCTAGGACGATGCCGAAAATAGATCCTATATATTTATAGATGCACTCAACAAAAATAATTTTATTTTTATTTGCGTGTGTATAGAGTATTTAAAAAATGGAACCTTTTATAAATATATAAAAAGTTTAGATATCAACCAAAATATCGTTTTCTGTATATAAGAAAGGATTGAAGACAAACACAAAAAAAATAAGAAAAAATAAGAAAGGATTGAAGACAAACACAAAAAACAAAAAAACAAAAAAACTGAAGTAACATCTACAATGCTGGGATTCGAACCTTGGTTAGAGTGGAATTGACCTCATATAAAAAAACAAAAAAAAACTGAGATAAAACCAAGAATTGGTACCTTTCGGCTCTTCAAGCAAAGAAACTGAGATAAAACCAAGAATTGGTACCTTTCGGCTCTTCAAGCAAAGAAACTGAGATAAAACCAAGTTCAGAAACTCAAAAGCTAGAAAGTTGGAGGAATTTGAGAGATAGGAGGCTTGGGAGTTTTGAGAAGCCAACCAAGGAGTCTGAGAAATGACAAATATAAGACGTTAACAATTGTTGTTGCAGGCTTGGAGCAGAAAATGTTACGTGTTCGTTTCTTGTCTGTGTACACTAAAAACAGAGGAAGGGAGGTTGGGGCGTTCATTCTCACACTTTCAGTTAGGAAAGTCTACGTAATTTTATGAGTTAACTGTATTTTACAACTGTATCAAAATGGGCCGTCGGGTTTCCATTTTCGTACATTCTGCTATGCTCAATTTTCTAAATCATGGGACCTCCAAATCTGAAGGGGTAAAATGTAGTAAAACCTAATTTTATTTTAGTGCTTTTCAAAGTTATCTCTCAGTTGGTTTAAGTGATCATGTGCTTGATGATATAACAGTACATGGTTACCAATTAGGCTCATATGTACACAAAATTCTACGATACATCAATACATGGGACATTAAGCACAAGCATCAACTTTCGTGTAGCGTTTTTAATCCAGTTAAATTTTTTGTAATTTAGTGTCAGTAGCTTAATAATTTAGATTCTTGTGTAAATATATAGAATCATGCATTTTATAAGCATGGTCGAGATGAAAAAAAAAAAACTAATTTCTCTCATACTCTCTAGGCTTCAATAAAAATTTCCCTTAGTTCTCATCTCAATACTCCTTGATCCTCAGTTAGAACTTCCACTTGCTTTTCGAATTCCAAGCAAGATGAGCACTCATTAGTAGGAAGGACAAGATAAGGATTTGGATATAAGGCATGTCCTTAATGGTCATAACTCACCAAATATTTGGTAATGTACCGGGGCATTGATGCAGTAAAGAACTCCATGTGTAATTGAAGGTTATAAAACTTGACGAACAAACACCTAGCTAGAGGTAAATACAATTTGCCCTAGTAGTGGCAACCCGCCGTGCACGGTGCACTCATCCTAAAAGGAAGGACCAAGGGCTAGCTTTTCCCTTCGGCATTCCTAGACATATCCAGCCAATATTAAGAAGTGAGAGAAATTAATGATTTTCTTCGTTAAACAAGTTTGTATCGATGGTGCCAACAAAATCATGTCATTTGTGTTTGAAACTAACTCAATCTATTTATGGTTTGTGTTAACAAATTATGTCATATATGGGTTTCTGTTAATAGTGGTTAACTCCAACCCATGAACTTGAAGTCGAGAACAAGTCTGTAACATCTAAAGAATGATGGTCATAGCTATCAAGTACCAATTATAGTTGAAGCTATTTGTTTGATGCATGTACTTCGATGTGTTATTGCTTTCTAAGAGCATCTCCAATCGAGATATTGGCCAAGTGAATGGTAATTGAAAGTTGACAGCAAGTGACGTTTCCAACTGATGTGCATAAATCCAACCTGGAATTAAGGCTAGAGTTGTTGACGGCAAATTTGACAACAAAGCCGTCCCTACTTGAATGCAACTTTCTAAATTTCACTGCTATATTAGCCATCAAATTGAAATATGACATATTGTATTTGAGATCCCTCTTGTTCTGCTCTAAGATTTTATATTTTCAAGGATCCTTCAATTTCAAAACAAAATATCAAGGAGAAAACGAAGAAAAAAAAAAGAGGCAAGGGTGATTGTTGTCATCTATTTTTGGAATTAAGAAGTTTTTCTTCCACCTAGACCACGCTTGACTTGAGTTGACGGCGTTACTGCGGACGAGTCCACAAGAGAAGGACAATACTAACGTTTTGCCGTCAAATCTGACAGTAACCAAACAGCTCGAATTAGAAAATGGCGGGACGCCTTAAAACCGAAACGAACTGTTTTTCAAAAACTACTTCCCAAACGCAAAGATGTTCCAAAATTAGTGTGCGTCTTCAATTTCTCGCCTTCTAGAATTCTGCTCCTCTCTCTCTCTCCCTCTCCCTCCTCCTCTCTCTCTCTCTCTCTCTCTCTCCCCATGGGTTGTTGAAAACTTAATTGACCAAATTACCCCCACCTCATTCTCATGGGAAGCTGCGTATGCACACCTGCGAAGGCAGGCGTCTACCACAAACGAAGCAAAGATATCATCAAGCCCTTGCCTCAATGCGTACACGACTCGCCACGCAAGTCATCGGTGGCGGCTTCGGCCGCTGTCCACCACCGCAGCATCATCTGGGTGCTGGACAAGACCGCAGGGGACAACATCTTCGACAAGTACGAGTTTGGCAAGGAATTGGGGCGAGGGGAGTTTGGAATTACCCACAGATGCACCCACCGGGAGACGGGGGAGTTGCTTGCGTGCAAGAAGATATCGAAGAGCAAGCTGAAGACGGAGATTGACGTCGAGGATGTGAGGAGGGAGGCTGAGATCATGCGCCGTTTGCCGAAGCATCCGAATATTGTCAGCTTCAAAGAGGCTTATGAGGACAAAGAGGCAGTTTATCTCGTCATGGAGCTTTGTGAGGGCGGCGAGCTCTTCGATAGGATTGTGGCGAAAGGGCATTACACAGAGCGCGCTGCTGCCACTGTCACCAGGACAATTCTTGAGATTTGCAAGGCAAACTCTTGATGTTTTAGTTTAGTAATTTAAATAATATATATATATAGATTGCCACTTAAAAAATGATGATTTTGTGTCAAATTTTTGCAGGTATGCCACCAGAATGGAGTGATACATCGGGACCTGAAACCGGAGAATTTCCTGTTTACAGATAGCAGTGAAAATGCTCAGTTAAAGGCAATTGATTTTGGCCTTTCTATATTTTTTGAGAAAGGTATCTTTTAAAACATGACTTCTGCTCCTTCCTCTGTTTTTTTTGTGTGTTCTGTTTCATTGCTTTCTAGGTTTTCATGTGACTGATGCACAATCTGGCCAATTTAGGTCAGAGATTCAGTGAAATTGTTGGAAGTCCATATTACATGGCTCCGGAGGTCTTACGGCGCAATTACGGGCCTGAAGTTGATGTTTGGAGTTCAGGGGTTATCCTTTATATCCTACTTTGTGGAGTTCCACCATTTTGGGCAGGTAAATCAATATTCAATTTTTGAGGTGGTTCAATTTACATTTGATTCTGATATATCTGTTTAATTTCAATGCATATGATATGTGCACAAAATGGGTGTGATAAAATTTTCCAGAGTGCCTTCTAATGTTGTATTTATACCTAGTCCAGAATCTGAGGAAGGAATTGCACAGGCAATCGTTCGGGGTAGCATAGATTTCGAGAGGGAGACATGGAAAAAGGTTTCTGAGGAAGCAAAAGAACTAGTGAAGAGAATGCTTGATCCAAATCCTTTCAACAGGCTTGGAGTTGAAGAAGTCCTTGGTATGTGACTTTTTACATATGCTTGTGCACAAACATGATATGCTTTTGGAAATCTCAGAAATAAGGAGGTTGAGAAACTTCTTACCAGTTGTGCAAAATGGAGAATTGACTAGCCATCCCCATTTGACATACTTGAGCCAGAGATCTATTTACGTAAATAGGACTTAATTAGGTAATAAAAGATAAATAATAATTATAGAGGCTTGATTTTATACAAAATTATAGAACATTTTTGCAATTTGTTTTGCTCAAGTATGGAACACTTTTTTTTCTTTTCTTTTTCTTTGCTCAGATGCTCATAGAATTTTGGCTTCCTTTATAATTTTCTCCAAATGAACGTAGAGCAAGCTTCGGTTTTACTTTTGACTACCATTGCAAACTTACCAGTTGTGCAAATGGAGAATTGACTAGCCATCCCCATTTGACATACTTGAGCCAGTAGATCTATTTATGTAAATAGGACTTAATTAGGTAATAAAAGATAAATAATAATTATAGAGGCTTGATTTTATACAAAATTATATAACTTTTTTGCAATTTGTTTTGCTCAAGTACGGAACACCCTTTTTTCTTTTCTTTTTCTTTGCTCAGATGCTCATAGAATTTTAGCTTCCTTTATAATTTTCTCCAAATGAACGTAGAGCAAGCTTCGGTTTTACTTTTGACTACCATT